ACAACAAATAGTCCGACTCCGACCGAACGCTTCGGGGACGACGGCGACGTTTCCCACAAGCTTTTTTTCTATTTTTAAGGAGCAACCGTTGTTGTCAGGGCGCTGACACCAGCTGACTACTAAAACTAGAGGACTAGGTCGGTACTGATATTATTCAGGCGAAATGCAGATGAAAGGAACAGTGAGTCCTCCTAGTCGTGATGCTTTACAGTCTGCCTCCCTTCCTCACTTCCCTCCCCGCTGCTTGTCAAAACAGATCAGTGCAGCTCTAGTCACGTGTCCCAACAACAGTGCCTCTCGTCACTTCCCTCTCTACCAGCCTCGCATGAACTCGCAGCCATAGCAACCGCCAACTTAGAAGTGGTACCAAAACTTCTGAGGAAGTCGCGCCATGTGTGGCTAAAAAATGTAGATTTAAAAATAAAACACAAGCCCAGCAGCGTGCCTTTTCACTTCCGAAAGACAAACAGCGATTAAAAAGTCCGAGCGGAGACGAGGACGCACAAGAGATGGGCTTCTCTCCCAATGCTGATTGGTCAGAGGAATTCGGTGCGCGTTCACGTGCGCGCGTGAGGGTTCGTCTTTTTTTTCCGTTGTGGACATTTTGTTCTGGCTTCAACCTAAACAAGGCCAAGATTATTTTTGGAGATGCTGTTATATGTTAGTTGGCTACAAACTGGATGACAGTCATCTAAACTCACTCAGAAGTTTCTGGAAAACAGTAACCCTTGGCTCACTACGTCTTTTTCCTCCGTAGAAACTCCCCTGCGGTGTTTTTTTTAACAAAGGCGATGGTTAATAGAACTTGATTTTTTTTTTTTGTTTAAATAGCTCGAAATGTTTACGCTATAGGTTGAGAGTTTCAAGGTTAAAAGCGAAACATTTTATAAGGCATGGATGACACTTGAAGATTCCCCACAGTCAGATGCTGGTAATGAGAGGTGACTTTAGGCATTAAGGCAAGAAATCCAAAGAGTAGGCAAAAATGAAGTAAAAAAACAGTAGGGGAGCCTGGGGGTGATTGGAACACTTACAGCTCGCAGAATATTTGGGCCACGATTCTTACACTTTGGCATAAAATAGCCTTATGTACCCACTGCAAGTAGAAATGTTTGTAACCTGTTCAACTTTCTCAGGCAATTAATTACCTGATGCATAACACAAGGAGTTCTATTGTTCATAGCCTGCCTCACTGCTGGGATAGTAGTAACACAACCTGGGGTAAATTATAACAATTAGAGTAAAAAAAATCAAAATTGAGACCATATGCATCTTAGTCGTTTTATTGTGCATTGCTTCAGTAGTTTTAAGGTCTTCATCTAGGTCAAAAAGCTCCCACCTCTGACTTTTAAATCTGAGTCAGCTCTTGTCAGAAAATGTGCAGTAGAAGCAGTAACAGAAGAACAATGTAATTGTATTTCCCCCAAGAGTAGTCATGTTTTTCTCACCCACTGTCCTGGCACCCAAAAAAAGTAAAAAGAAAAGAAAAATCCAAAAAAAAAAAAGGACATGGGAAACTGTTTTTCTTTGTCATCATGGGGATAGTTTTAATACTTTTAAAATAGGTGTTAAGACCACCCCACCCATTTCAACCATTGTTTAGCCAGCTGGAGCACCATGGGGGTCTGAAATTAGCATAGGTTAAATGCCTCACATTTTACCCAAGACACTGCTTTTTAAAATTACAAGTTGCATTTCAGCAGTGTCAATGGTAATACAAATGCACACTTGATTAAAAAAAGTTGTTCTGTGTTGAAAATCAGTTAATTTGCTGTAAAATCTGAATGGTTATTCACATGGATTAGCAATTTCACATTCAATGTCAAGGAAGATGTTATACATTAAACTAATGATATTTTTAAGTGAAAGCAGTAGTTTTGCACTCATTCCTTTGTTGCAGTCTCACCTGCAGCGTTTTTTATTCCTATCCTGATACATGTAAGATGTGGTGTGTTGACTTTCTGGTGGAAAATAGAGGACAAGGGAAAAATGCTCTGATTTAATCAACACTGTGATGAAACACAGTGTTGATTAAAGGCAACAATAACAATTCACTTCATGAACAGACTCTGTAGACCTGGCTTTAGTTTGCTAGTGAAATGACACTATTTGGGATACAGAACAAAGATAGCAAAATATTGTAAGATACTGCAAACTAAAAAAAATGAAGCTATTTGTTGAAAGTAGGAATGTTAGTTCAAACATAACCACGGTTATCTGATAACGGGTGTGATAACAAATGTCAATTGTGTCAAAGAAATTTTGTGTTGAATAAAATGGCTTTGACTGAAATATTGTAAAGGAGTTTGTTTTTTTGGTTTTTTTATAAATTTTATTTTTAGTCACAGCAGCATGTTAATAACAAAACATTGAACATACAGTAGTTTGCTGTTCAGTATTTACAATACCCAAAAAGATAACAGAAATAGAGAAGGAAAACAAACAAACAAATCAAAGAAACCCCTACAAAACAACAAAAAACAAACAAACAACAACAAACAAATATAAAAATAAAATGTATAAGGGACATTCAGTGTACAGTTAACTATGATAGTGATATAGAGATATGGCATCCGGTCATGATAAGGTGGTCATTTTAAATGTTTCCATGTACATCAGGAATGGCTGCCATGCCTTAAGAAATTTGGTGGTTGAACCTGCCAGTGTATATCTCATCTTTTCTAAATGTAAAAACCTCATGAGCTCTGCAAGCCACTGTTCATGTGTGGAGGAGCTCCCTGCTTCCATCTTAAAAGTATAAGGCGCCTTGTGATAAGTGAAGCAAAGGCAATAGAATTCGAATAGTATTTTGGCAAAGTGATGTCTTGAGGCATCACCCCAAAGATAGCCGTTAGAGCAGAAGGATCATATTTAACGTTATACATCTCTGACAGAGTGTTAAATATAGACACCCAATAGTTATGAAGATTGGGGTATTTTTTTAAACTAAGATTTATTTGTTTCTCTTGCATAAAGGGTGGGGATAATAAAAGAAATAAAATAAAACATTTTTTTAGTATCCATATGGACTGCCAGCCAGACTGTTGCATAAAATACTGGTAACAGTATCAACCCAGAGTTTGACAATCAATCCACTCCTAGCTGCAAGCCTTTTAAATTTTAATTCAGCTGATTTGTGCTTTCTCTCTGATACCAGATGCATGTGACCCAGAGAATGTGGGTCATTTGCACAATAAAACAAACACTTACCAATTGATTGTGGGCTTTTATCGACAAAGCAGGAGCAAAGTTTACATATGTATGAGGACAACACTAACTGTTGTTTGTGCTGAGTCAAACATAGTGGAGCTCTGCATCCCATCCTGACAAAACCCCAGGAGCTGTTGCATATCACATGGTTGAAGATACACATTTCTTTAAAACCATGGCATCCCCCATACAATTGTCTGCACAATAGCCATAAATTATGGTCAGTAAAATTAAACATGTAAATATAGCACATCTGAATAAAAAAAAAATGCTGTTCTTTGACATCTTACAGAACAAACTGCTTCATAAAGTTGCAATGTGCTTCAAATACACTATGATCACCGTTCTCCCTGAGAAAACTGGCTATGTTATTTTTAAAAACCAAATGAAAGTCAGCAGACATTTTGAGCTGCACAATTTAATTACCTTCAAACACCAGCAACACAGTGAGGCCTGTAGTTTGTTTGATGATGTAATTTAGCAATAAACTGTTAAGCTAATAGTAGACAGTCAAGCCCCTGCTGATTCTAATGGGGGCATTTTCTGAATGCATATAAAGCTCATTTGCCTTATCGTCTTAGCCCACGGTCAGAAAATCAGCTCAGTGTGATGGGGATAGTTATCTTCGTAGGTGCTGCAGTACAGTACCCTGAATCTTTGTTATTCTTTTTCTTTTTCTTTTAAAGATGTTGGTAACTGCAAATAATGATTGTTTGTGAAAATTCATGTCACAGCTCCATCTAGTGACAGGATACAGGTGGTGCATTTAAAAAAAACCAGTCGGCTACAAGATTAAAACCCCTAGTAGTTAAAAGCACTGATCATTTCATCACGTTAAAGTGTTCTTCAGGTAAACCTTTGTTCACGTCCTGGACAAGTACTGACGATCATTGTTGTATGCAGGGAATCACTTTATTGTTGCACTTTGAGATCATTCAGTTAAATTAGTAATGGGCTACAGAGTAGATAAATAGACTCACGTGTAGTTCTCTGAGAAAGTTAAAATGATAGCCCAGATGTAATTACATTTTGTTTTTCTGCACTTGGCTGCTTAAATGTGACTCACATTTTTAGCAATAAGAAACTGGTGGCTCTAGTTTCTTTGGCGTTATACATATTTTATAGTAAAGACGGACCCCTGTTTGTTAGTAGTTCATGGAGATTTAGAAAAAAAATGAAGGTTATACAGGTTTGTTAAAACAGAAGCTTTCAGGTTGAGATACTTTACTTGTTGTGGCAATGTGATTCATTTTGGAACTTTTCCAGACTAACAATTTATCTGTCAATTAAAAGCCTTCAATCCACATTTGTTAGAGGTAAAAATTATTGTGTGTGTGTGTGTGTGTGTGTGTGTGTGTGTGTGTGTGTGTGTGTGTGTGTGTGTGTGTGTGTGTGTGATCCATCATGTTCTCATCCCACGGTACAAATGCTGATGCATCAGATGGGCTGCTTGTATCACAGTGAATTCGTTTAAACTCTTTAATATTTGCAGCAACATGTGTGCATACATTCTAGATGTTTCTAGGAACACAACTTCATATATTTTTGAAGATGAGAAAGCCTGTGCAAATGAAGCCTCTAACCTTGAGGATCTATCTTTTGAAACTACTTGTCATGCAGGTTGACATCCAAGACAGACGCATATACCTGGATGTTTCCTACATGCCGATTCAATTTGAAGTTTTATTGATTCAATTTGTCCGTCTGAGCAAGAAAAGACAAAACCTAGTAAAAAGAAAATTAAAGTAACAATGTTAATAATACAACAGCAAAGATTCAGAAGCTGGAAATACCAACAGTTTATTTTCTACTTTTTGTGACTACAGAAATGTTGAAACATTTGAACACTGAAAAAAGCTGAATGACATCATCACTTGCTTCTCAATTTTCTTTCTTTTTTATCATTTGCTTAGCAATCACAACAGATGATATTGCACGGCACTGAGAAAGCAGTAGCAAAGCCTGGGAAACAGCAATGACAAATCAAGTCATGAGACATGGAGTTTTACATCTGAGAGTAACACCGACAGTATTGCCTCTCTGGCATACACGCACGCACACACACACAAACACGCACACACACACAAACACGCACACACACACACACACACACACTGACACGCAGACTAAAAACCGAAGAAGCACTGTGAGTTGATAAGGAGGTCAAAAGAAAGAGATCGAGTCTGACAAGAGCACAAGGCTGACAAGAGCAAGGAGATTTCATTTTGAAATGCAAGTGCAAAATGAACTTCTACTGTAATTTATTCCTAAATGTCTATGACAACAAATATGCTTGTTTATCAAAACCCTTCAAGCATCTTTGTATATGAATAGCTGGAGGACACCCCTCTGCGGGTGGGAAACTAGTTCCCCAGCGTAAGAGATCCAGATGATTGTCTTAGGTGCTGCAGTATTATTATGAGACTTGTAGCCAAGCTACCCATCATATGGGAACTCCTTATGGGCAAAACAAATAATAAGAGATGAATTAGGAAACAGGAAAACATAGGCCCACGCTGCATTATCCTTTTGTTCACTTTACAGGCCTTTTTATGTAAAATTAAAGCATCTGTACTTATTCATTCAAGACACAATGAATGCATAACATCCTGATGTAATCTGTCATGGACATTTTGGTGATGACCCCTTAGTCCGTGGAGACTCTGTGCTGTCTGAGCATGACAGAGAGGAAACAGTACTAACAGTGCGGCCTCTGATACCCAGAGACCTACTGTTTTAAAATGTACCAGTCAGCCACACACATGCATACACATCAGCAAAAAGCTTGACAATATGCAGTACAAACACATTAGACAATGGGCAACGACAGAATCAAAGAGATGCATGCAAATGAGCTCACATACAAACTTGCATACTTCAGCAGTACTTGACATTTGAGGCGCACGCTCACATTCACAGACAGAAAAACAGAAGAGCAATCCGAATAATCGTCTCCATACACACTCGCACACGGATTCCTTGGTAAGGTTCTTTGCAGTTTTATTAGACTTTGCTTATAGTCATTACACGAGTACGTACCAAAAGAACAGATACTAGATGGAGCAAGGCGGCGGTGCCACGGCAATAAAAACAGACCCAGCTCCGCGGCACAGCCCCTGGCAGACCGGCTGCCCAGCCTAAACTCCACCTCACTCTGTGTATGAGACAGCAAAGTGAGCGGGGCTTGCAGCCCTCGTTTCAAATGCTCCAGATTGTACATTGAACAGGAGATTCCCCACATGGTAGAGTAAGCTTGCCTACATAGCCCTACGCCTTCTACATTCTATACCCGTGCGAATGGCAAATCAAAACTCAGCAAGTCTACCTCACAAATGCCAGTGCTTTTCAACATTATACATATTTTTTTTCCAATTTTTGGTTTGTTTTAAAAATCTTTGGATGTGCAGTAATACCCATAAAATAAGTGTTTTTAAAAAGTCAAAAGAATAGAAAAACACACACACACGTACACACTGCTTTTTGCCAACTGTTCAACAAAGTAGCTCCTGTATAACTTTGTCTGCATTGGCAAATCAACTGTCTTGGTTTCTGGCAGTGTTTAAAACACACATTGAAATGCCGGCTAGGATTTAGCTGAAGAAGAATAAAAACTACTCCTTTGTTATATCTAAGCATGGGAAATAAGGCTGTAACATAAATGGTCTTTTTTGTTTCTTTTCTTTTTTCCAAAAACCTACTATATACAAATCTAGAGTTTCTACAAATGCATAAATTAAAGTAGTGGTTAACCAATACAAAAATGCAATTAAATTAAAATCACAACACAGAAGTAGAGAAAAGGGAAAATATGAACACAATATCACAGCAGTTGGTTTTACCCTGTAAAAGCAATAGTCTACCATCATAATATTGGCATAACCCAGTGTCCGATAAAAAATACGCTTCTCCCTCCATCCCAAAAGTTTCCTACATCAACCCTGAAACTTGTCCTCCATGTCTTGAAACAGAGCACTTCTGCCAAAAAACAAAACAGAACAAAAAACAGCAACTTCAAAATAGATAATCATACAGCTTTTTGAAGTAACAATAACAATTACCACACAAGTGGAGTTCTGCCTAACTCACAGATAGACGTCTCAATGCAGAACTCAAAGGAATTATTACTATGAGGTATTCAGACACATTGGTAAAGACATGCACGGCCAGAGTGCTGGACCTTCCTACACACAGCAGAGAGACAAGCAAGGTTAAGGGAAAGAGGGATGGAGGGATGAAGGGCGGGCAGGGGAGAGGATAAACAAAGACCTTTGGTTTAAACTGTAGAAGTGGACAACAAAAATTCCTTTGGTATGTTTTCATTGCATGGTTGCGCTGGCGAAAGCACCACGGTGTGATTAAAGAAAAAAATCTTCTCATTGTTTCTTCAGTAGTGGCCCTTCTACAGGCTGAGGTATTCACAGAGTCAAAGGTGAGAGGTCAACAGCGGTTTAACACTTTGGTTCAAGCAAGGCACTCGTCCTGGGAGTTTTAGAAAGATTGCAACACGTCTGCTTCTACTTTCAGGAACATGTCTGCCTATAGTTGAGTCATCAACTCTGCCCATGGCTATGTCAGGTTGTCTGCCTGTTGTAAGGTGAAGATGTCTGACCTATTTGTTGGATCAATATTATCAGCCTATAGATACACACTAACAGGCAGGCCAGGTGGAAATAAAGCTGCAACACTGAGAGCTCTGGTGGGGTAAGGCTTCAGATGCAAATTTAAAATCATTAATGAACCAAACTAAAAGCCTTTCCTGTCAACAAAGCGGTAGACAGTAATGTGTTTCTGTTATGAACAACCACTGATCACATTACTAATAAGGTAGTTGTACCCCACAGGCACCAGCATGGCTGATTGTGTGTATCTAAGGCTAGTTCAGCACATCTGCCTATAGCTACATCAGTATGACTATCTATGGAGCTGTAATCAGAGCACAGATGAAGCAAGAGCACGCATAGCGGGGGTGCATGGGTTGAGTGCAGGTGGGAGGGGGAGAAAGAGGAGGAGAAAGGAGAAGGGAAAAAGAGACAGGAAATAGGGGGGAGGGGACACATACATCACATCTTTGAACACCACTCATAGAGGCCGTGCAATGAGAAAAAATCTTTGGTTATCTTTGGTATCATCAAAGTGATAAAAATCACGTATGGAACTTGAGTGAGGTAGCATCTTTGGTTCACACTATAAAACATCAGCAGGTCTTGACACATTTTTTTTTTGGTTTCTTGTCGTCTTTTTGGTTTTTCTCTCAGAGATAAAGAAAAAGCAGCTCTCTCTTGCCTCTCCTTCAGCGCTTGTTCTGATGAATGTAGAGCTGCTAACCCTGGCCATGAAGAGGATGACGGCAAGGGGCCAGCGTAATATATCTAATGCTATGCTGACCTGGGCCAGCCCTGTGTAGTGCTTTCCTCCTAGTGCTGAAATGCATAGCTTACTAGGAGAGTGGAGGCAGGGAGGGGAGGAAGTGCAGGGTGGATTGGCAGCAGGCAGGGAGCGGGGGTGCTTTCGTATTCAGGTGACAAGCTGACATTGCTGTGTAAGCGCCTGAAAGTGATTTGATCATTGATATCATCTCCTCCGCCCAACATCTTTGATGAGGAGATAAAATCAAATACATATGAAGTGCTTATTAAAACCACCAGAGGCACTGTGGTTTTGACACGCTCCCTCACACAGTGTCAAAACCACACATAGATCCAGTAGCTTGTGTTTTACATAGAAAACTGAAGAGATTTGTCTTTGACAGGTGCTGGATTTTGAACACATAAAGTAGAACTAAACCTGCCGGCATTAGCTAAGCAGATTAGAAGGATTAGATGTAGCTGTAATGACTAACCTTAACATTGAGTACAATGATCATAATTCAGGAGAGTGTCTGCGAAGTTAAAAGTGGTATAGTCTATTTCTTTCCAAGAAGGCATCTATAAGGCAAATATCAATAGTTAATTTTTAGGGTTATACCATAGAGTATTTCCGTTTACAGGGAGCAAATATTTAAATGTGACTCAAAATGTTCTGTGGAGAAGGACAAGTATGATTTCCTTCTTCGTGGAGCACACTAACAGTCTGTCTCAGGAGGTAAGGGAGGAAAACAGGTAAAAAATACTTTTATCAACTACAAAATATATTCTTTGGTCAAATTACTTCAAAGGATGTTCTTAAGTGGTTTGATTTCTAAACTGCAAAAGAGGCTTCAAGGTGTAGAAGGCTTTGGTTTTTCTTTTTGAATTATTCAATGCCTCAGCATGTTGGAAGAAAGCACTACCATGTGGGTTGATGTTAGGCATTCTTTTCTATTTGGTTTGGTTTAGGGTTGGACCTTTTGGTTTTAGGGTTAGCAGTCTACGCATGGACATTTCCCTGTCTGTCTGGAATGCTTGATAGAAAGACAGACAGTTGGACAAACAGTCAGACAGTCCGCTCCACTGATCCGAACAAGGTTGCACAACAATCCAGTCTCTCCTGTGGGATTTTTTTTCTTTAAAGTTGATTGGCCAATCCCACTGGAGCTCCACATTCTGGCTGTTTTCGAGGCCATGGACAACTGCAGATCAGACTGTCAAGAGGCTGATTAAACCTCTGTTTAGGGACCCATCATCAAAACCAACCAATCAGATTAAAGATAACAGTGGCGAATGATAGATTCATACTGGGTGGGGAGGTGAGGGGAGGGTGTAATAAAGCTAGAGACCAGTGACAGCGAGTGTGTGTGAGAGGGGGAGTAAAACTATAGTCTTTTTGCAGTATGTTACACATAAATGTGTTGCTAAAACAAACATTGTAAAGCAGGTCAAAGGAGAAGTCTTTGGTTTGTTTTTTCATCTTTGGATACTATAAATATCAATATAGTACAGGTTTAAGGGCAAAACGTTGCTTCAAGGTCTTTTTTAAGTTTTCTTTGTTTCTCTTAAGTTTTAAAGCTTTTCCACCGAGGTTGAGTCAGTCCATGAGTTGGTCAAATCAGTCCTTCTTCAGGCTTTGGTGCAGGCGTTGGGGCCAGAGTTGGCTGAGTGACCAGAGCCGTCATCCACCCACTTATCTAGGCTCCGGCGGCGTGCGTTCATAAAGAAGTTGCTGACTGTAGCCAGCTCGAGGCCCAGCTGTTGAGCAATGGTGAGTTGCAGCTCTTTGGATGGACGCTTGTTCTCTTTGAAGATGGCATGGAGTGTCCGCCGCTGCACATCTGTGAACACAAGCCGGGGCTTCTTGGTCAAATTTCCCCGCTCGCTTCTGCCGTGGTCCTGTTCCTTACGCTTACATGCTGTGGAGATTTCAGCAAAGAGACATACAGAGAGAGAGAGGGGATTTGTGAGAGAGGGCAGAAGACAGAAAAACGAGAATCACAACTTATCCTGGGATTTTAAAAAGTCCTGAGTAAAGAGTGTGGCCTGAACCATGAATTGGTTCTTTTCCACAATATTAGGCTGGGGGAGGCAGGTTGTAGTTTCCACTCCAACTCTGCAAAGTCCTCAGTGCTAAAATGTTGTTTTATCTTCATAAAAAGTAAAACAGAGGTTTTGTATGTGACAATTTGTATTTTTCGCTTTTGTATCCTGATCGTCAAGACCTGAGACCTGTTCAAAATACAAAAATTACATATTCTGATAACATAGGATTGGGGTCAGGGGTACTTAATCCTCTAGGGACTAAATGTGCTAAACTAATGTGATTATCTAAAGCCAATCCAAGCCTCTTTACTGTGTAATGTTATAGAGAAGTCAATTTGGATCTACTCTGATATGGACTTTTTAGGTCCTATGGATACACATGCAGCTGAAATTTGTTTTTAGTGATGCCAACATGAAGAATATTCAGTTGTATCAAGAACCAAATTATACACAAGCTCTTATTTGTATATCTCTTTAATTTCCTTTAATTCCTAGAAACATATATTTTTCTTGTGTTTCATGCTCGCTCTAATAAAATATTAGCCTTCAATGTAAACGATGCACAGCCTGTTTTGAAAGCTTCCTTATGTTTGATGTAGCTTGTGTGTGGTTTGAGTTTGGTGAAATCAAGTAAACTGTCTTTGCTGGTCTAAGCAAATTTTTGGATACTATTTCATATTTCACATTTTTGGATACTAAACCAGTAGAACTGGTAATTGAAAGGTTTTATCAACATTTTTCACAGACACATTTCTATTACGGTTTTTGCATCATTTACTCTGAAAGAATCACACAGCCAATGATTGTTGGAAGTAGTGCTATTTTGTTCAAAACTCCTCTTTTCAGATTTTTTAAAAGGTACATGGGATATAATAGCAAAATTAGACTCATAGATCCACATAGAGCCTCTTTTGATTCAGGCACCAAAGGTTTCGTGGGTCCAGAAGAAGAGCAATCAGCAGGAAGCATGCCAGAACAATGAGCGCTGTCCACGGTGCTGAAAGCAATGTCCCCCGCAGGTGACGTAGATAAATAAAGAAAATGGCCTGGAGATGATTTTATACTGGAAAAACAAAAACTTGGGAATCCATCTGATAAAAAGTCAAACTTCAGTTAATCTGAACTCTTTGCTACATGGCTACAGCTTTTTTTTTTTTATTAACACCCCAAGCTCCAGTCATTTAAACGGAGAGTGAGGTCAGACCAGGAGGGGGCAGACGCGGGCTGCTAAGGTGAGACCAAATATGGGCTCACTGGGGAAATTAATGAACAACACATCACAACCACAAAACAATTCTCCGACCAGCACCGATTAATTTTGCAAAGTGCACGAAGTAAACAAACGCATTTCATGAGTCAACCCGAGACAACGTGCTGAAAACAGAAAACTTCGATCAGCCAAATTTAGACACCTTTTTTGAAAAAAAAAAAAAAAAAAAAAGGTAGAGGAGAACAACTACAGTAAGTGTTTCCCTACACTAATAAACTAATAAAATGACTTCCCGTTCTATATTGTAGTAAAGCACTACATATTATCGTTAAACTCTACTTTATTCCTCTTGTTGTTCTTAGTTTTGGTGTATTATCTCCAAATGAAAGCTTAAGTAACACTACGCGATACTTTAAAAACGATTAGAATTATAAAATCAAAAGAGGACCTGCCCCCCGCCGAGATCTCACATGATACATGATTTCTAATTTCAAGCACTTTCTTCAGCATGTGCTAAAGTACAGCGAAGCGGCCTGTTAGCATGACCATAAAGTGGAGTGGGTCTATAATTGTGAGTATGAGCAGCCCGTTGTCTCCAGTACAGGTAAATATTAACAGAGGGCCGGAGCTCCTCGTGTAAGGGTTGCAATAAATCAGCACGAGTGAAGGCCACTCAGACAGCAGGAGCCAGCACAGAGGAGCCCGACCCCGCACGGGAGGCCCGCGAAGACAGGGAGCTTTCCCAGGACCGATGGGAACATAACAACGGCCTCGTTATCGGGCTAATCACACACACACACACACACACACACACACACACACACACACACACACACACACACACACACACACCGCTGCTGCTCCCGGCTAATCATTACAAACACGAGATAACTCCACACACTAAAACAGACTGCACACATAGCGTGTACTGACACAATGTGACGAAAGCCCCGCGTTTCATAACCGTACAGAGAACAACAAACAGACATCTGAGCTGAAAACGTTGCGAAGATTTAGCCCAGCGTGTATTTATTTCAAGAATCTACATCCCGATTAAGTGGAAGTAGATAATTATTCACCAAGAATAATAAAAAAGAAAACACAACCACCATCAAGAAAGGTCTATGCAATCACAGCTTCTTTCCACAAAAAAAAAAAGAAAAAAAAAGTTGTAATGAATTCCTCTGCGCTGTCTGGAGTGGGTTCTCTCCTCACTTTTATATTCCATTGTATTCTATTTTATTCTATTCCATTCTACACATACAAATATTCAGATGGGTAATTGAATACGTGGGAAAACGAGAGAAGGCCCAAGATTAATTTCAGAAGCCTAAAATCAATGAACAGATCAAATCTACCTCAGTACAAGATCACATATCCAGTTCACACAGGAACGAACGGATCAATAAAATGGCGCTCAGACTATTTTATTCTGAATTTATTTAATTTTTAACTCTATTTCCCCCCTCTTTCTCCATTATCCATCTTCTTTATCTGACATTTTCTAAATAAAACTCGCAATTGATATTTTGGTACTTTTTTGGCCAACCCCCCAAAATAAAAAAATCAACAAAAACAAGAGTTTATACAGTTTAAATATGTTTTTTTTAAGTTAGGTAACATCGACAAAGAAAAATACAACAATAACTGAAGCAGGCCTGTTACATTTTCCCTGCACTGTATGAATATCTATTTCTCTGAAAAATAAAATCAGAGCTTTAACGATACAAGTCAATATGCTGCTGGTCTGAGTTTAGTTTTAATTATATGCTCATTCCACTAATGATAAAATGATGCGAATGCAATATCAAATATGCGTGTGCGCGTGTGTGTTTCACTCATTTTCCACTGATAAAATCTCTTCAAAACACACACACACACACACACACACACACACACACACACACACACACACACACACACACACACATCAGTAGCAGCAGATGGGAAAACTGAAAAATAATCAATTGTGATTACACTGATGTGCACACGCGCGAGCATACACGTGCACAAAAGCGCGCACTTTCCACCGTGTAGCCTCACTTTTCAAAAAGCACAAAAGCCCCATTTGTAGGTCATTGATCGGGCCTATAAACGTAAAAAAAATCTATTGGGTCTATTGGTGTGTGTGAACGCGCACGTGCTATTTGGGCCTCGCTGGGCGCCTTAATTGACTCGTGCGTACCACAGGGACAAATTCATACAGAGGTCTACCAGTTAATTAGAGAAACTTCAACGAAGTCAGGGTTTGTTCACCAGCTAAACACGAACACGTGCTCTTTTCAATTCTTTTCTGCTGAGGAACTGAAGTCTCTAATTTTGCCAAAGAGAGCTCCAAACGTCTTTACACCAACTAAATAATGCATGACTCCGGCGTCGCTTTGATTCGGTTTATGCGAAACTCCCAGGAACACGTGCACACACACTCTGTGTTTACATGAAGGGCAACTCCAAAAAAAGGAGCTGATCGGTTGCATCTACACCAAAATAAACACGTTCCTAACGATTTCTGGGAGAAGGATCAGTTTACGCACACAGTCCAGCGGTCGATATTTTGAGGTAAAATGACATGAGTACTTGTTCCACACAAGCCCCAAAATCAGTGTAGAGACAGAAAAGGGATGCGTATTGATGTCAGGCCAGTCTCTGCACGGTCTTCAGCTCAGTGAAGTTTGCTTTCGGCTCTAATTCCTCCTGTTGTTTATCTGACTGTATGTTGAATTTAACCACTCAACATAAATAATAGTAACCAGGGCCAACTTTTCCCGATTCCGTCCTAAAGCTGATATCATTTGACTTCCAGCATCTGGAGGCAATTAGAGAGATTACAAGTTATACATATCTTTTAAAGACCTATCCAGCACAGAGGAAACGCCAGTCCTGAATGTGACTCTTATGTGAATTTGAATGTCTTACAGTTGGTTTGCTATATTTTTTTCCCAGTATAGCAAAAAACAAACTACAAGCCCAGTTTCAATTCCTCTCTCCATTGCTCAGCACAAGATAACATTCAGCGCCAGTGACCTTCTGTGCCAAATTACAGTCATTTGCCGATCGTTTTATTTTTCTTTGGAAATCAATGAAAAGATGAAAGCAAAAATGGGGCTTTACCGAGGCTTCGCTCACCTGCGAGCCTGAGCGCACTCATGCGTTGGAACTCAGGCTCCTGCAGCCATTTCCACATGCGGCGGAAGGTCTCTCTGCCGGACTTAAGCTTGGACCAGGGTTTGGGGTTTCGCAGCAAGTCGGACAGGGTCCCTTGGGACCTGCACAGGACCCGCTGGGCAAAGATGGCCTGAGGGATGCTGTAGCGCTTCAGCTCTGTGGTGATCCTCTGCGCCACCTCTTTGGTATTCACCTCCTCCATCTGTCCCCCAGAAACACCACCCCCTCCACCGCCGCCCCCTTGCTGCCCGGGCCCGGAGGCCTGCTCCCGGCTGTTCCCCAGCACTTGGCCGTGGCCCTGCGCGCCAAGGTGGGCGTGCGGATGGTGATGGAGGCCGTTGATTTGTACCATACCAGCTGAGGAGCTCATGTGCTGCTCCGCATGTCTGCTGAGCATGGCCGGATGGTGAGCCTCGAACCCGCTCGGGGTGAGCATCTTCTCACCAGGCATAGCGGCACCAGGATGAGCGTAGGGGGGGATGCCGGCCTGGGACGTGTGTATGCTGGCCAGACCGGAACCGGATAACGGGGAGAGGCTCTGGCCCATGCACGGATCCTTGTGATGATATGCGGGATACAGACTGTTCATAGGCGCCAGACTCCGGTCCTCTCGCATTAGCGTGAAACTGCCGCTAACATTTCCGGGGATCCTCTGGTGCGGGTGCGGGTGAGGATGATGTGGATGGTGGTGGTGATGATGATGGGGAGGAAACTTGTCGGACACGGTGGAGATGGGGGGTAAGGGCTGCAGGGGGGTTAGGGTAGTGTAAGTGCTGCTCGCGCTCATGCCAGGGGGGGCTTCACACATGCTGATGGCTGGATGCAAGTGTCCAGAGTGGCTGGGGTGATAGTCTCCGGTGTCGAGCAGGGTCGCCATGCCCATAGCACGGTGGCTTAAACCCCTAGGGCTCGGACGGGAATGTGGACTGTGGCCACTCAGCAGCTCTCCGTGACCGGACACGGACTCATGGCTCACTCCGTGCAGGTCGCCAATATTCTCCATCGACAGCTGTGCGTTCATGATCCGGGCAGCGCTGTGGACAAACCATCTATCTGACCTACCCCAGTTAGCTGATGTCCAGAAGTCCTCACGTCCAGTAAAAGTTCAAATTTCTTTTGTTGTTGTTTTTTTCTTGCAGTAGCCTCCTTTGCTATTGCCTCTTCTCTGTCCTTACATTCACCTATTTCATTATTCCCCTACCTCGCACGCTGTTTTGCAGAATGAAAACTCCTCTTCCGAATCCCCCTTTGCTTGACAGTTGTTTTTTTTTTTAAATAATTACTCTCTTAATTTTCTGATTCTCTTTATAATTCAAGCCCCCCCACCACCAACCAGCTGTCCTTGCGCTCCGGTCGGGTGCCGCGCCATCTCTCTAGCAGTGTGTCTCCAGCCCCTGTTCCACCGCAGCACAGCTCACTGTCTACACATGCGCAAAGGGGACACCCATCTCCACTCGTATTCTCTCTTTCTGTCTCCCTCTCTCTTTCAGGCACACGCGTACACACACCGCCCCATTCTCTGACGTCAGGTACCTTATTAAGGAAGGATGGTATGAAAAGCTGCTCACAGCTATTAGAACTATTCAGGACCCTTTAGCTTTTGCTGCAAATGCTAATAATGCTAATAGAGAGAGCTCACATCAAAGCCCTACGAAATCTGCTCATGGATGCTGACTGAGTACACAGCTATATCGTTAATTATCAGCTCTTATTTAGAAAATGTTAAATTCATTAAGGCTGTAATGAGGCTTCACATTCAGTCCTCCTTAAACTATTAACCGCAAATGAAGTAAACTTCCGGGTTCATATGGAGTTGATTTTTAACCGGTGAGTCTGGGATCCAAAACCTCCAAAACTCCCAAACAAAACAACAACGACACTTAATTCCTTTCGACGAAGCAGAAACGGTCGCCACAGAAATCAAAGCAGGATGAGTTAATTGTTCCCTTAAAAGGCTGTCAATAAAGTCACAGCCTGTATATATTCATAAGCATCAAATACATCCATTCTTTTATCATTATTAGTCAGCTGCCCCAACCCGCCCCCACAACCGTGCCAAATATGTGGCAGTTTAACCAAACGAAGACCGTAGTACCTTCTCTTTTGATAGAAAAAGATGAGCAGATGTGTCTATTGTCCAACTATTAGGCTTAACGAACCAAGCCCAGCATGTGTGCATGAGTGTGCATGTGTGAGTGTGTGGGGGCATATTTAATCCTTGTGCTTTAGAACTATTTGAGGATATAGTATGGCCATTAAACGGTGATAATAAAAATACAACACCCACATGTTATTTAGTCAATTAAGAACATTTGTTTTTTATTTGCAGAAACTTCTCAGAAATTTACACACGCATACACACACGTGCGCATCCACGGCAGGTGTGTACAATCCAGTCCCACCGATGGAAATCACGTGCTGACACGTAACATGACTACGTGTCCCTGTGTTGTTGTTGATGTTGTGGTGCACTTTGCATGAGTGTCCAACCCCCTCAAACCTGCAGCCTGACAAGAGCCCGCCCCCGCTTACATTTAAGTTACACGTCAAGGGCCGTTTAGCCTAATAGAGCGGTAGCGCAGGGCGTCCTCAGCCGGCCGAGGTGACAGCTTGCAGCGGTCAGTGTCCTTCTGGACCCCCTGCTGAATGAGGGACATGTCAAAGGTGACGCTTCAAGACTCCCAAAGCCAACATCTGCGGGGGGACAGATTAACCTTTCAGACTTTTCCCTGTTATGGACCTGCTAGGGGCCCCGCATCTGTCAGGGCCCCCACAATAGACCCTGCGCTCGGTTGAACGAGTTAAATAAAAGAAAAGAAAGAAAGAGAGAGAGAGAGAGAGAAGTTAAACTGCCTCTGATGTGAAGTCAATGTCAACGGCGTGTGTGTGACGTGTGTCGAGACAAAAGGACACTAATTCCTCGAAGTGTGGCTGTCCAACCGTGCAGACCTGCGGACATAATAGACTTTGGAGGGAGGAAAATAGAGCTGAGGACAGGAAAACAAAAAACACTAAATAAAATTATGTTAATTTAACAATAGCACCAACTTATTCCACACTGAGGCATCTGGTTTTATTTCAAGCAGAATTTATTCTAATTCATTTTGATCAAAATTTTAAATACAATTTATTCTGTAAACTAAAAACTCAATTTCTCCCAATAAAACTTTTGCTATTTTCGCGTCTGTTTTTATTTTTGATGCGCTCTCCTCGCACAAGCAAACGAGATCCAGCAGGGCTAAGGTTTGGCCTTACTTGGAAGCAAACCTCATCTACACATTCTCATACGGATCGATAGGCTTCTGCCATGTCTGCACGACCTGAGCTGTGTGTTTATGTGTGTTGGCTTTCTGTGGCCATTGTGCCGAGATAGGCCAAACCTTACGAGGCTGTGACATTTGCTTTGCAGAGAATATAAGGGACACGGTTTTCTGAGCACTTCTGAAAGAGGATACATTTAAGCGGAATTCAATTCAATTAGCACAAAAGAAACAGAAGCAGAGACCAAAGTGTGCCACAGATCCATACATGCGCGGATGAAGAAATACCGGCGAGTTGGAGGGAAAAAATATTATATTGATCAAGTCTTATGAAATAGTGTGCGCCAAGGAAAACTTGATCCAGAGAATGGGCACTGAAAGTGCAAAATGTAGGTTTCACACTGATTATTAATCAGGGGCATAATTCCCATGAAGCCCCACAGCAGCATATCCGAGCAGCAACAATATAATGTCTGGCAGAGAGGACGGTGGATCAATATTTCAGCAGCTCTGCAAAATGACACAGCGTTGCAAGCTTTATAGATGCTCAAAATGACAATTACGGCTTGTTTAAGAATAAGCCTTTGCTAAATGGCATCTGGTGGAACTTAACTTTTATAAATGAGCCTACTTGAATTTGAGCAGTATGGTCATTGACCCTTTGCAATATAACGACGCATACATTCGGAAACTGAATCATCCTTTTGAAAATAAATCACTTCGCTTTTGTTTTATAGGTTTGAACCCATGAATTGATTTTACTGCTTCACCTCTAAAATCCCGAGATCCATAAATGGGTCCTCCTCTACTTTTAGATGATTTTTTTTATTTGAATCGGGAATTTAACAGAGGAAAATATATTAAAGCCTAAATATCTGAAAACATATGAACAGATTTCTTCCTTTTTAAAAATGAAAATGTGCATTGCAGCGTTGATGGCTGTCCTTTAGAGCAAAAAGCACAGGCCTTGAAAACACACCACAGCGCGCCAATCAATACTGAATAAAATTATAATTCCTGGAGGGACTCAGGCTAAGGCCTACGATTTGTTATAATAAACCAACCTAAAAATATACTTTTTTTTTTCTTTGCGTAATTTGTTTGTGGGATTTTAGACAGGCGGTAATTATTTTCTCTTTGAATAATGTGATTATTTAAATGAGCAACCGGGTTATTTAAAAAACAAACAAACAAGAACACAAAACAAAAAACAAACGCCGTCTTATGGAAAATTGAAATAGTACTAAAAGTGTAGAAATTACGTTAGTTTAAGGCAGTAGGCCAGCTTTATTCTGAGGTTGAAAAGAAAAATAATAATTAAAATAAAAACAGGTCACATGAATAACATAATACAGCCTGGTAGGAAATGGTAAACTTAGATGAAATGAAGCTAAAGAGCGATCTAAAGATTTAAAGATCTTTGAAGATCATTTTAAGAAGTTTTTGTTGAAAGTTTTTTCTTTTCTTTCCTCCCCAATAACCAGAATTTTGGAACACACACGCCTTGGGGCTTTGATGTAAAATGGCTTAAAATTTCATCCCAGATTAAGGAATTTACTTTTTATTTCCCCACCTAATTATTATAAATGCCATCATGGCCGAGCAGCAGATGCCGGACCTGCTGCCTTGCTCAGGGGTAACTCAACTGCCTCTTGTGTTATTCCGCGTCACTTGCTCTGATTCGTGCACTCATGTGAAATTAACAAGGCATCACTTTACATTAAGGTGCCCATATGCCGCCCAATTACTCCCTGTAACTTTGGTAAGACTCCAATTATGACAACAAAACCGTGTCAACGATAGCCAAACCAGCCCCACTAAATGTGCGCTTCAAATCCAAATGACCTCGTACACAAACAGGCTGTGTGGCTTTTGGAGGCAACAATAACGAGTTTAGGGAAAATGAAAATTTCTTCCAAATTTCTGAAATAAATAAATGTAATAAAAAAAACCCTGCTTATTGCCGTGTTTTTGTAGCCACAATCTCTCGGCTTTTCCTTTTAACTATTTTAGTTGATCCTAATTATGGTTTTCTGTACTAATAGCGAACCTGTAAATAGTGTCTTGTATTATTTGCAGTTAACACGTATAAAAATAGCTCATGAGTAAACAGACTATACAAAGCTGCAGAATACACATTGGCACACTATGTCCTAAATATTTCTATAAACTGCAAATTGAACAAAAATCGAAACTATTGTCTTCTTGTAGATGTATCTGCTGATTTAGAACATTTATAATTTGAGGTTTAATAACTAAGGATTTTATTATTATTAATATCTGCAGCACTGCGTCAGATTTGGATAAAATCTATGCATTTTATCCATGCATTAACAACAGGAGTGTGGGTATATTTTTCAATAAGAGATTTGACAGCATGCTGGCCAGCTTAACTATCTTTACAGGTGCATCGTTATCATCGCATCTAAATGATCAATTTCTCTTTAGAAATTCAAATTAATGCGAACTGTGTGTGCAACCAAAAACGTCTGAATTCTGAAATATTTATGCGTGTGTTGGTGGTTACATTGCCTCACGAACTCGTAACTATTGGGACTTATTTTCTGATGTTTTAGATAAAATGAAAATGTGAGAAACGAAGTCGACTCTCAAGCAGTTTCAGTTAATTATGAAGCAAGCCGGTAATATCGGCCACGCAGTGCGGAAATTATATTATTTTAAGTACAGTTAAACCAACATTTAACTAGGAAAAGACCATTTTAATTGATGCCCTTGTGTAGATACTATAGACTGAAATGTGGCGCAGCTGCTTTAAGTTTGTGCGCATATGCGCCAGAGAAACACTCAGCTTGTGTGCGTCAGATTCGGAAAGCACTCTTTTTTTTCCACATCTCTTCTCAACAGGGTGCCAGTCTTCAAATGTGTGCATTTAAACTCTTCTTCTTCTTTTGCGTCACACATAAAGACAGACACGCACACGCACGGCCAACGCACGCACGCACACACACACACACACACACACACACTGTAGTTCCAGACTTTAACGCAGGATCCTTTTCTGTCATGCATCTTTATCATCCTTCCAGCTCACTGCCTTACAGAAGCGCACAGAACGACAGAGCCTCAACATCAATTTACATAAGCTCTTTAACTCCAACATGTGAGCTGCAAAAAGCTGAGGATGCGCTGGCATCCTCGCGTCTCCTCCA